CATACATACATACATACATACATACATATATGTATAAAATAAAATATGCACTAAGCTGCTGAGCTCCCTTGACTTGATAGCTTAAATATGCTTGTATGACATTCCCCTATAGTGATATAAATATAGTATTATTTATTTTATGACAATATATAAAGTTAACTAATAGATTATAAATATATATTTTTTTATAGAGGGAAATAGACGGGGGGCTGGTGGTGATGGCACCTGTCTTGGGTCATTAAGGTTTAATAACCTCTGTCTCCTGTTTCTGTTAACTCCCAATTCGGTTGTACAATGTCGGACACATATTGGGTTAAGTTAATTAACTTTTTGTCTACATGTGAGAAGTCTTCAATCTACTTACAAACGAAAATAAGTTGTCTGTCTGTGTCTGAATGTTTGTGTGAATGAGACAACGAAAGAGAGAGAGAGAGTGAACTAAGACGCATGGAAAGTGTGCAATCCACTGGCATCACGAGGTCTACTAATATGCTTGTGGGCAAGTTTAAATCAGCCCAAAGCGACCTCAGTTGACTTGGTTGTCATTGCATAATTGTTGATAGTTTTGAAAATACTGACAGTGAAAATAAGGTTGTTTGAGGCGCTAACATAATCAGACCAACTTCAAGTGAGCTTCGCAGTGGCCTGGAGGAAAGACGATAAACCGAATACTAGTGTGGTTGTGTGGTTGTGTGGTTGTGTGGTTGTGTGCTATAGCGACAGGTGACACTTTGAGGCGACCGTCAGTAGAGATGGTATCAAAGTGAACAAGACAGGAGGGCACAGTTTAGGACTGTGCGTTGGGGCGCCAAATAGAGCGAAGGAAAACGTCACATCTGAGGCCGAGCCTCTTTACAGGTATTGATCACAGCGGCAAAAGGCCATTGCCCTGCCCGCCTCGTGCTGATTGGTGTTCAGACAGCTCAGCTCTGATTGGCTCTCGTCTGGCTCACTGGCACGACCCTGTCCAGTTGATAACTGGACGTCCGGCCTCGGCCAATCAGAGTCTGGCATCTTTGCGTAATCAGCTTACTCGTCAAGCCTCGGCGTGACGCACTCCGGTCGACCGCATTCGCTCGCCGCCTCCATGCTGCCTCGGTCGCACTCACGGCCTGCGGCCCTCGCTCGCCACGCCCTCTATTCATCTCCTTCCCCTCTTCCTCTTTCTTCGTCTTCTCCTCCGACTCGGGCGACCATGGCCTGAGTGTGTTCGTCTCCACCGCCGACCCGGATTTTGCCGGCCCTCCCCTCCCCTCCCCTCCTCGTCGCACGACATGCGCTGTTTGTGGTTGTCCTGGTGCCTCCTGACCTGGCTCGCCGCCATGCTCTGCACGGCCGGCTGCCTGCTGCCCTACTGGCTCAAGGGGACCGTCTTCCTGCCCGGCCCCTTGGGCCTCGACGACCCCAGCAGCGACGGCGAGAGGCGCCCCGAGGCGGAGGCAGATGCGTCGTCGCCGACCGTCGCCGATGGCAACGTCAGCGGCCAGAAGCGCGGCGTCGCCCTGCACATCGTCAGTCAGAATCCCGCGGATCTGGGCCTGTTCCGGCGCTGCGGCTATCCGGCCTACGCAAACTCCTCCTCGGCCAGGGTCGAGCCCACGAGGCTGGGCACGGTCGACACTCCCGTCGCACTGGTCGCCTGGCAACCGGGCTGTGGGCACTACGTCAACCTGGGCGGCATTCCCCACCTGGCCTGGAGGATTTCTCTCTTCTGCCTCGCCTCGGCGTGCACGCTGCTCTTCTTCGTCACCTTTTTCCTCTTCTTCGCCGGCTTCGCCGTCTACCTACTCTACTTTCCTGTCGTCTACCTCTCCTGCCAGGCCTTGCAGTTCGTCTCCGGTGAGTCCCCGCCCCTCTTTTAGCCCACTCGGTCGGGGCTGGATGTGTCGAGGTGCCGGAGACCGGCAACCGTGTCGACACGCCCTGGCTCCAGTCGAGGCCTCAATGTGTCTTGGGGGCGTAAGGGAGCAGGTGGGATGGTATGCACTGAGATGCCTTGTACAAGGTGTCGGGCAAGTGTGTTTTGTTGTGCACTTGCATGCTCTGGCAGGCGTCAACAGGATGGGATCATAGTATTGTTCATTTGTGTAAGGAAATAGCTGCCGCATAGGTCCTCTCCTCACGGGAGGCCTCATTACGATCGCAAGAAAGGGAGCATAACAAAGTGACTGGGGCTGCACCCATTCTCTTGGTCTGACTATCCTTTCAGTCATTTCGTAAAGCATGCGTTCTTGCTGCGATGATGCCGCTGTCACGACGGTACAGACGACAGCCGGTGAGCCGAGCACCTCTTCACACAGTTCAACAGTCTTCACTCTCCGGCAATTCTCCGTCGGTTCCCGAGGTGGGCCATTCCACTGGTTCCTTCCAACCAACTTTCCCCTCGTGATGGAAAGTCATGCATGCATGTATATGTATACAGTAAAACCTATTTTGTGCGATTTTTAGGTAATATATCGTACAAAGTTGTTTATTATATGCAAGCATTTATAAAATTTCAGAATATTTTTTTGTACGATTTCTTTTATACGGTCCCCATCCACCGCACAAAAACAGTTTTTACTGTATATATATATGTATGTATGTATGCATGTGCATTCATATTTATATGCGAGAAAGTTTGAGTTTCGATTACGTGTCTGGTTTAACATTGTTAGGGGGACCTTCATTTCGAATGAACGTACCGGAAGAAGAGATTCGTTTTTCGATCTCACCAGCTGAGGACGGATGAAAATCGTTGTACTGCAGCCGTTTAGGTTTTATATTATATTCATGTTCACGCAGTCCACGAGTCTTCCTCCCTCGTTTCGGGTGAAAACGTGCTGAGCTTTCGTCCATCATATGATGG